ATACATGGAGTGGATGTGGGGGTATGTGATTAAGGGTATAATATATTACATGTGTATATCGTGTGCCATGATTATGCGATTATTATTTGTAAAAGCAATTCATTGGTTCGATTGTAGTTAAAAAACATATTAAAACTTAACGAATATTAACCTTGAACTAAACAAAATTTAAGATACATCATACTTTTTATGAAAAGATGATAACATAGATGCTTTGGTTGGTAAATTACATTATAAATGCATACAATACTGAGACAGTATATACAGACTATAAACTTCAATAAAGTTTGATAGCTCTTAGCATATGAGCTTATTACATTGCAGATTTTGTGCATTTATAATGCATTTATTATAAATTTAGTTTAGACAACAAATTTAGTCGTTCCACATAAACTTTGTTCTTCGCCTAATGAAGTTATTAATAACGAAAATACATTTCTATTTAATTTTCCAGTATAACATTAATTTATAAGAGTATAAAATATAATTTGTAACGATCTCTTAATTGAAAGCACTACCTGTTTAATATTCATACCTGTAAATTAGTGCAAATTTACATAACTATCCGCCCTCTATTTATACCACAAATTCTCTCGCCGTTTATTAAGAATATAGTGACTTATAAATTTTATATGTATTAAGAATAAGAATTATAAAAATTGCTATATTACCACTATTCTTTAATTTTTCCTTTAGTTCTATTATAAAAAACCGAAATGCTTTTCCACCCCTAGTCAAGTAGACATAGTTGCAATTTTAATTTATCAGTTGCATTTATCAATGTAGTTTCGTTAATGTATATTTATTAGCTGGCTATATCATTATTACAACAGAGACATTACATATACTCACTCTTAACTACAATGTCAATAAGTAGACATTTATATAAAATATAATTAAAAGAAACTTTGAAACAATAAGATGAATACAATATCAATATTACAAACACAACTTTTAAATACTTTTTCGTTGAGTATTGCAAAAACAACAATACGTTACCGATCAACATACGCCAACGTAATAAGAGATACACGAGTTTTATTATAAAATGAAATTTTCACGGAGTCCTTGAAAATTTGATTGCACCTCATTCAAAGGATAATATAATTTCATTCGTGAGAGACATGAGCTGCAGGATTCAGGGAAAACCACGACCGAGCGGAATATAAATAGTTTACAAATAGAACTCAAACAGCATAGAAAAATTCACATCGCTAAAAGATAGTACTTCCAAGCATATCGGTCTGATTCATTATCAAAAGTAGATTATTCAACAACTGAAAATAACACTTCAGGTATACGAAAGTGAAGGGGGCGTAGCTCAGATGGTAGAGCGCTCGCTTAGCATGCGAGAGGTACCGGGATCGATGCCCGGCGCCTCCAAAGTAACTTTTTTTGTTAATCCTTTAAAACAATAAAATAAAAAGCAAAATGAAACTAGATGCAGCGAGGCTCGCTTAAATTCTACAGAAATCTGCTCGGCTAAATTCCACAGTTCCAACCCTACTCATCTACCACTACTCACTATCTCGAGCTCAGTGTAGTTATTGTAGTAAACAGGAACAGAAAATGAATACAATGAGCAGAAACGAGATATATGTAATCCGTCGGGACGCAGGACTTCAAAGCAACGCCGCACGCGTCAAATATACATATGCAATGGAGAAAATTTCAATTGCAATATTGACCTTACCTTCTCAAGTGTAGTACCCATTCATTGCTGAAATTTTTCTGATTAAAATAAGTCCGAACACGACGTAAATCGGTCTAGTCTTATCGATTTAGGGGAAATGAACCTTTAATTTCGTTAATTACAATGTCGGTAAAACTAGTCCGATTTCCATCGTGTTTGGACTCATTTTAATCAGAACATTCTTAGAAATTCACTGGTACTATATTTGAGATTGTAAGGTTAAAATAACTGCAATTGAAATTTTCTTCATTGCATGTTTGTATTTGACGCGTGCGGTATTACTTTGAAGTCCCGCATTTTGACCCTTGATTTTCGGCGGACTGTCTATCCCGCTTCCACTCACTATACGGATTCTCTGCTTTTGTCAGGCTGTGTTCGAGTCAGTTCTTGGGGAAAAATAACTTCCTTCTGCTTTTTCTGCTCACGTAAATTCCACTGTAGGGATCCGAAATTGTAGAATTTAAGCAAGCATTATTGTATGCATCAAAGAAGAATTAAAAACAATGCCGTAATAAAATATATCCATAGTTCAGAACAATACTCAACCGACATAAATGTAACTGAAATAGCACTCCTATAAAATTGTGTGAAAATTCAGTACCATATTCATATGGAATGATATTAAAGCTTAGTCTGACATTCACAAGGAATTATATTAAATTCCTAAAAGGTACCTGAATTATAAGAATATATCGGTACTTAGAAGTGATGCATACATATTCAATTAAGAATATACTTTTGAACTGTACAAAGTTTTTCATTGTTCTGCTACTACATTTAACTTACATTGGAAACATAAAATTAGTACTTAAATAGTACTGAGGATATACAAATCAAAATGAGTACAGCTCAAATGATACAACATATGTTTAGTACGTGAGAGTTATCAAGACCAATGTCCGCCACTTCCAAAAATCAATACTGATCCTTTCACTGAAAGTAGATCAGATCAGACGACAATAAGGGCACCTGGATCAAGTCAGAGCAAAGGGGGCGTAGCTCAGATGGTAGAGCGCTCGCTTAGCATGCGAGAGGTACCGGGATCGATGCCCGGCGCCTCCAAATCCTTTTTTGATCCTTTTATCGAAAACTAATTTAAATTCGCGGTTCGCGATAACACTGAATAAAGGAAAATGAAGATGGAGAAATAAGCACCAACTTGAGCGAGATTTCATTTTAAATTGGTACTTCGATTAACTGGGGTTGACAGTCAAAGTGGTACCTAAATATAATACAATCTAAGCTCAAAGTGATATATAAAAGGCACAAGGTATCAAAATGGTATCTGGGCGTTATCAGACAAGAACTGAATTTGTATGTCAATTGAATCAGAGCACAGGAACAATCACAATTAAACAGTCATACTGAAAGGATGCTTCCCTACCCAGTTGCTAAAATCAATTTACAACAGAAACTAAAAATGGTACTTGAGAACGACAAGTCGACAGGGGCCTAACTTAAGTGGTAGATCAAACCCAAAGCTGTAACTCCAATGAAATCGGACTGACACTCGAAATGGTACCTGGAACAATAAAACTGTGGTCCAAAATGGTAAACGAAACGAATCTGACAATGGTACCTCAACGTGATGGAACGAAAACTGGAAATGCACCACGATTCAATCAAATCATAGAAATGACATCAATCGAACCGTCAGCAGCAAGAAGTCCATCCTTCTTCTGTTATCCAAATTTAATATATAATAAAACTTAAAATGGTACTTCAAAGGATTAAATCGAAGGGGGCGTAGCTCAGATGGTAGAGCGCTCGCTTAGCATGCGAGAGGTACCGGGATCGATGCCCGGCGCCTCCAAAAATCATTTTTGCATACTTTCACTGAAAGTAGATCAGACTGTGCAACAATAATGGCACCTGAATCGAATCAGATCGAAGGGGGCGTAGCTCAGATGGTAGAGCGCTCGCTTAGCATGCGAGAGGTACCGGGATCGATGCCCGGCGCCTCCAAATCTCTTTTTTAAACAATTGTACACACCTGACATATTTCCTTTTCCTTTTTTTATTCTATTTCATTTGTTTATTAATATTCTATTTCTATTCTATATCCTGACAGTGAACACATTGTTTGAATGTCTGGCATTATTTTATACATCACTTATTTCTTCATACCAAAGACAGATAGTATTAAAAACAATTACGAACTATTTGATAACACAGTCCTTACGTTATATTATTATCTAGTTATACTATTAAATACTTTTATTCGACATCAATTGTCTTATTGTAATTATGTCGAAAGCAATTTAGAAGCACCGGTCATCACCATGGCAGTTAAGTGTTAAAGGGGTGTTAACACTAGAACTACTGGACAAGTCAAAATGATTTCAGATTTCTGCTTTCCTGGGAAATGGTTGAACAAATCAATATCTGTGTGCAAATACAATAACAGAAATCAAATCTCAGAAAATATATTCATGCAATGTACACAAAGGATGAAGAGTGAATTTAACTGCTTGGTAATAGTTCTAGCGTTAAGTTAGTCCATTGACGCAGGGATTATATTCTGCGCGATATTAATATTAATAAGTTTGTGTTTCCGGTTTAATGTGCATTTTGGAATTCATTACCTGATAATAGCTCAATGGATTCGACGGCGGTGGTACATTAGGGTCGACCAGTTCCATGTTGTGCAGCCAGGGCAACAAATATTGGAGCAACAGCTGTCGCACTTCTCTCCTGGCCGTTTGGAACCTGTGCGTAATTTCTGAAAGCGAAGCATAACCAATGTACAGTGTGAACGAGAGATTCATGCGTTTCTTGGTAATTCTCTTAGTGAATTATTAGTTGCATTCCATGTGCGTATGGAATGGTATTTGGGTCAACCAGCCATCGACTTTTTTGCGCGTATGCATATCTTCAAACATTTTATTTTTTCTTTTTCATTTTTTTTCTTTCAATAATAAATAATTTTTCAAAAGTATTCAACTGCTAAGTATGTTGAAGTACTATGTACGTTGAGTGTATATATTTTAATCATATTCCGTACATAAAAATAGGGTTTATGCCAACTAAATTGGTACCAACAAAGTTTGGAAGCTTAAAAATTTGAAAATTTAAAAGTTTGAAAGTACCTTTATTAAAGTATCTTGTATTTAAATATCTCGGAGCCTTTTATTTTTCTTGTTTTCTTTAATGGCATTGAGAATAAATACTTTAACTATTTCGTCTGTATGTTTAGGTGTTGTTGAGCAAAATTTTGAATGCTAAACAATAACGTGGAATAATGATACTCACTTCTTTTATTACTCAATGACTTTCTTGATTTCTCACAGTTTCAATAAACTGTATAAAAAAATGGAATAAAGTTAGGATCGAGATCTACTTGCTCAAGTTTCAAATGTTATTATTTCGATAACATTAAATGTGTGTTCTGGTGATTAAATCATATGGCCTGCGTCTGTGTATACCACGATCTTCAAACTCTGCTCGATAATATCGTTTATAACCATTTGTTGGGAACGCTGTTTGAGTTTCGTACGACAAAACGTGTTTGCTATGCAAACTTGCGAAGTGAAGAGGGCTGACGGGTAATGGGGTAACAACTTGCGAATTGTTATTAAATTCTTAGATAGATCTACCATACATTTCTGCAATGTTTTATAAAAATAGGCGTGCATCAGTCACCGGGGTTCCCTTGTAAGTTATAAATGGATGAATTATTTCTAGCTGACCGGTAGCAAAAGGTATGAACTGTCTCGTATATTTCTAGTTATGAATTCCGCAGTCCATGAACTTTGTTGCATTTTATCGTAAAATATAAAAACTATATTTATATTTATTTAAACAAATATATAAACTAATCTATATTTATTTTAAAAACATAAATATATCTATATTTATTCAAGTGAACATATAAATATATTTATATTTACTTGAATCAACATATAACTATATTTATACATGCTTCTATCCACGCAATATTTTTCATTCGCAACGTTAGTTAACGTCCATTCATTTCAACTATGAACAAACGATTATTAAGTCAAATAAAATAATTTACTACAATAACATCTTTCAAAAAGAAACACCGTTTTCGATACGTTTATGTAAATTCTGGACACACTTCTATCTACTCAGTAAATTGCAGAACATCACGCTTCTGTAGCATTTGCAAAGCTGGAAAATACGAGAAAACTTTTGTATCAACAAACTTTAATGACATTTTCATTCTGTTTTCTCCATAAAATATTCTTTAATCAACCAAATGACCTTTTATTCTATTGTTTTACTACTATTTTTGTTCTAATCTCTCCATAGACTTTTCTTCACTGAACCAAACGATTTTTTTCTGTACCCTGGTTTCCACAAAACGGTACATGAAAATAAGAATTTCCATAATGATCCTCCATCTGCCAATCACTCTGCATAATTCCATTATCTCAAAGGAAGTGCACAATATATTTAGTAATCTTTTCAAGCTGCCATTGACTGGAAACGAGGACAAAACATCGATAAGAAACAACGGAACTCACCGCTGAACATAGGCATCGTGAGTTCTGGATGCAGTTGAGCCAGTTGACGCGATAGGTACATCTGATTGCGACAATAAGTGGTCGACAAGAGAACGTCCAAGGTCCCACCCCTGATTGCACCGTTCGAGGATAATCCGCTGCCGATTGGATTACTCTGTTGTCCTGGCGCGGCGGCGGCCGCGGTGGTAGCTGTCGTAGATGAGGCAACAGCGGGATCTTCTTGACCTGAAACGAGGAAACGATGAAATTGTACACGATGAACAACCAGAACGCTTAGAAAATGAATAAAATGGTGCTCTAGTGAATGTGGGAACTTCTCAAAACATTCTACAAATCTCGCAATTATGATTGTAAGTAGCCGGACTTTAATCCAGCATTTTCCAACGTAAAAAATTAGCTGAAAGATACATTCTGTGGAGTTTAATGAAGATTTTATTCTCGTTCGATCGAGATCGAGCACTTCACGAGAGGCGGAATTTTAGCTGGAACAGTTTCGAATTAATACCATTAAAACAATTTTTAGTTTGGAAAATGTTTGCACGTTTAACGGAGAACGGTTTTATGGAAGAAAAAGAAAAGGAAAGGAAATTGAATGAACAAGAAACGATTTACGTATATTCGGATCGAATAAAATGATTATGAGATTGAAATTACTCTGAAGTCTTGTTGTTTTGTCTTTCAGTGTGGCATTTGTGTTATAAGTAAATAAATATTAGAAGTAGATACTAACAATAGAAGTAGTTAATAACAATAAAGTAGTTTCATCAGGACAGATGTGAAAGATATCATAGGATTTCTAAATATGAATAATACGTCAAAATGAATACTCAAGGGGTTGACGTGAAATGTTACGTTGCAAACAAATACGCCACGTAATGAAAAATCCATTTATTTTACTGAAATTTCACGCAACCAGCGGGAATTCGTGTATTCCCTCGGTGCGCAGAAGCTAGTTGCATCGTACTTTATCAGGAACGGTTGCCGATGCACCATGCAGAAATAGTCGAGGCAGCATCCCGGTATATACTAGTTTGCTTTCTCATCGGTGATCCTGTTTTTTAATAAATAACATAGCGAGCTAAATAATTAAATAAATAAAGAAATAACAGTTGCAAATTTTAAAAGAAGATATTAACATAAATACGTATAGTGATTAAAATTTTGCATTTTCCGAATTTTATTTTCGAACTTCAAAATCAGCGATCGATGTGAATCATTTTGCCCAAGCAACAAGTGAAAAATGTGTGATGTAACTTTTGAAAATGAACATGTGAATTGTTACGAATAGCGGGAAAAGGATTTATTGAACCCGGAAATCGAGTGTTTTCTTGAATGACGAATCGAAATTCCTCGTCGATGAAAACAGACCTCAAGGATTATCCATGGTTACGGACCTCCTCAACAATCCTTGAAGACGTCAAGACAAATTTGGCAACGGCCCAACGCGATTTTTTGTAGAACTTTAAAGAAACTTCCGATTGTCTGCGACTAGAGGTTTCGACAAAGAATCTTAAAAACGAGTCTTATCTCCCTTAGTGAAGGAAGCAAAAGAAAATAAACAGGCCTCAACAATATCCACGTGAAACCGAAATGGAAAACCATCGCTAAAAATAGTGAACTGGATATACCAGTGAACAGACTAAACAAAAACAAAAGATGAAAACGGCATAATAATGAAACAAACAAACATTGAGCGTCTAGTTCGTGTATCGTGAATTTTATACGATTATATTCGAGACAATTTGAAAACCGACCTAATAAAACAAGATCAACCCTTATTTAATTTCATCTTCTACAAATCAATCTAAGAAACTCTGAATTTGCACGAACGTCGGCGGACCATTCATCTTTTGCCGTTTAATTCGTCGCTGAGATGTGCTCGATCATTTATCATTAGAAGTAATTTGTTATTTGTGAGTTATTCACGCTTAAAGCGATAAATGTACAACAGTGGAGATAAATTAAATGTCAAACGAGATTTTATCGATTTAAAGCGACATTCCTGTGTCAGTCGTGCCGTTACTAACAAACGGGGCGGTTCTTTAATTTGATCCCTGGGTGATCCTTATCGATACATACTCAACATGCCATGTTATTGAAATAACCGTTTTACCCATTTCTACTGCGTCCATTCGCAATATCACAATCGTACGGTATAAAATTAATAACAGCTATAACTTTAGCGCTGCTCAAATGTCCTTCAATGAACTGATAAAGCATGTCGACTCCTTGCCTCATGTTTCCTTTGGTAACAATTCTCGTAAGACTCCCTTTACACTTAATAATTAACGCGTAAATAAATTCTGTACGATAAATATTCATAATCGCTAAATATTATTCGTTTCCGATTACATTTATTACATTCAGTTTCAAATTCCGAAACCCCAGTGTTAAGTGTGACATTACAAGGCAAAGAGTTCAACCGCAAATTAAAGAAACCAAGAACTCCGGACCGTAAAACATTGACTCATCGAACACCTGAGTAGCAATGTTTCATACAAAAAACACGAAGCTCCTCGAGATAGATTTCCCTCCGCAGAATGTCAGTGGATGAATGAAAACCTCGAATAACTTCAAACTTCATCGTCAACGAGGATTGTCAACTCCTTGTTTCCCCTTGAATGAAAATGGTACAGACGCAAAGGGACGGATCTGGTGGGTTTGAGGTGATTGAGAACGTGTTGCGGAGTGTCCAATTCTACTACACGCCAATCCTGGTCTACCTGGGTTCATTGGGCAACTGTCTATCAATGATCGTATTCTTTGGCACGAACCTACGCCGGTACTCGTCCAGTGTCTACCTGGGCGCGTTAGCCATCAGTGACACAGGCTTCCTGATTTCGGTGTTCGTTGTTTGGCTGGACATGCTGGAAGTTAGTATATTCGACCAGCCAGGTTGCTGCCAGTTCTTCATCTATCTGACCACGCTGTGTAGCTTCACTAGCGTATGGCTAGTGGTTGCGTTCACCGTGGAGCGTTTCATCGCAGTGAGGTACCCGCTCTATCGGCAGTCCGTGTGCACTGTTGCCAGGGCAAGGATTATAGTAGCTTTGTTGACCGGATCAGCAGCGATCCTATGTAGTCCGGTCCTGTGGTTCTCTGCACTAGCGGTTCAGTACAACGAGAAAGGCAACGTGACAGAGTGTGGCCACTTGACCGAGGGGCTGGAGTCCTGGGCCACCGTCTACAACGCCATTGACACGGTGCTGACTTTCGCGATACCGTTCACAGTGATCATCATCTTAAACGTGCTGATCGCGCGGGCTGTCTCTAGGCACATCAAAAGTAGAAAATCGCTGACCGACGAGCAACCACGTGTTTCAACGGATGGGCAACCACCGTACCCCAACCTCCGTGGCAACTTGGCGCAGACCAAGATCACTAAGATGCTATTAGTTGTGTCCAGCGTCTTCTTGTGCTTCAATCTGCCAGCTTATGTCTTCAGGATCCACGCATTCTCACATGTATGTTTTCTTGGTCGTAACGCTATACGTAGACTGTTTAGAAATGTCAACTCTCTTAACTGATCAACAGTGGGACAGAGAGTTTTGAACTTTCGTAGTCTGAACTTTTGTAGTCTGTAATCAGTGAATTCGTGATTTCTAATTGTTCGATGAAGAATTGATTTATCTTCTGCGCTGTACTGAACAGTTTAACAGAGTTTAGGGTTTGTTTTATCAGAAGCTCCGTGGAATCTTCTGGAGGATTAATTTGTAATAAGATTTGTACAATCACATGTGATTTATTTGTGATAAACATAAGCTAATAAACTGATAGCTTTCTTCAAAGTAGGTTTTTAGTTTGTTGAGGTATTAAGTAAGAGTAGTTTGCATCGATGTGGTACGTGATAATGGATTCGAATATCTAGTATTTAATCAATCTTTTACACGAGTTTCGATTAAATTATGTATGAATTTCAATTTAAAAAACTATATATACATGTATACCATTAGATCGATTTTTTTCTTTATACTAACGCGTTATTAAATTTTTAATTTTATATGAAATTTTAATGCCATTAAAATCATAATTGTACGCTGTCCACTATGTTATCCATACTTTGAATATAAAAATATAGTTTCAGGAAGAAATGAACGTACCCCCTTCAGTAGAACTGGCACAGCAAATTTGCAATTTGTTGTTCAATACCAATTTCGGAATTAATTTTATCCTGTACTGCGCCACGGGACAAAATTTTCGAAGAGCTATACGGTACATATTCCTGAGGAGATTTCGTAGACGAAATGTAACTATGACGCAGACATCTAGTCACGGAACGCAAAATGGTACGTAAACCCGAGCACCGTTCCATTTGTAATCTATTGTTACATACAATAGCCGTTTATCAGTAAAATTGTATTTGTCTTCAGCATCAAAGACCGAACGACCGGGAAACGCGTTGAAACGCCATGACGCTGGTATAGCTATGGAACCGTGGAAAGAATTCCCTGATCTGAATGTTATTTCGCAGTAAAACCTCGTACAAGTTTGCATAAAATGAATAAAGCTTAATAATCCGGAAATGGTTTTTTTATAGTGACCGATTAAATTTTGTTATCTTACCGGTCTCCGGTTCTGTAGTCGGAAGAGGACCCACATTCCCAAAGAATCGTTGATCCAACAATTGAAGAAGCTGAAGAGCTGCGTCGTGAACAGGAGCACGTGGGCAACCGGTACTCATCAGTGTGACGTTGATGATGCTCGTGTAATGATCGCAAGGATATTCTCTGCAAAACGAAGGGAAATATTAAAAATAATTTGTATTATATTTATGTATGAAAGAAGCAGTCGAATATTCTGTATTATCATATTATGTGATGTATTATGATTCGAAATAAATTATTTGTAATGTAAAAGATTTAAATTATTTATAAAATTATATACAGTATAAGCGACTTGTGTTATGTCACTAACCTTGCGCTAAAAATTGTTGCCAAAGCTAAGAAGCAACCGTCAGCTACTTGGGGAGCTCCAGTGTAACATCTGTCAACTACCCAATCAAGGAGAGTTCCGATATCAGGGTTACATTCTAATAGTAAAACTACTGTTTCACGGGCGAGGGCATAGATCTGAAAAATTATTGTTCACGTGTAATTATATATTTTCCTGTATAATTTTCTATTGAATATATGTTATGTTACTTTTTCATCTTTGCTGGCTAACAGTAAATCCAACCACTGATATAATATTGCCCCTTCCTCTGAAAGAGTTTGAGGATTGAAACAAGGCCCACAGCATAATAATCCACTCATGGCTTGCAATGCTGAAAGTTGCAACTCCGTACACAATTTCTCTTCTTCTTGTAGCCAGAATGGACTTGTAATTGGACGACCGTAAGGACCAGCCCAGCTAGCAAAGAGCATAAACAAATTCCGTCTCAAATCTCTCTTTAGCAAGGATTGGCATGTTTCCACTAAAATACAAAAAATCATGTTCGGTAAAATTATTCATATAAACGAGCAGTCTTCGTGAGCACAATTTACTTACATGTAAAGCTTTTAATCATTTTCCTAATAAAGTTGCAGAAGTGCAACTTAATGTCACGTACAGCAGGTGCTTCCTTATCTGCTTCATTCTCCAAATACAAACGCGCGCCGTCAATATATTCGACGAATGTTGGATGAAGCGATTGTGTCTCGCGACCCAATACGGCAGGACTGTAAGAAAACACATGAAAAGGATCCCTGCCGTGGTACACAGATGTAGCGTTGTATGAATTAAAAACTAACCAGATACCAAAGGTTCCGTACTCAGCAATAAGTTCTAAAACCCTCACTAGCTGTAATCTCAATGCATCCCTTCGTCTACGACGTCTCATATTTTCTTGTTTTCGGTCAACTGCCTCGCGAATGTAAGGAACTAATTCCTCCATTAAGTCTCTGAAAAACCATGATTGTTACTAATAAAATAAATAAAGAACGATGGTAATAATAATTTTCAATTATTGTGCAATCATTAAAACTGTAAAAGGGAAAAGAAGAAACTAAACGAAACGGACAAGATTCTTATTAAGTATGATGTTATTTTGTATCAAAGTAATTCGCTTACTTTAAAGCATCAGCGTTGACTTTGCCAATCGCTTGAACAGCAGCATCTCTGACATCGACCACTTCGCATCTCAAGAGGGGTACTGTCAACTTGTACAAAGCTGCAGGGCTTGCGTTCGTGCCGGGTGACTTGTTATCGCCCCTTTCAGCGGAGAGGCTATCCGGGGAAGAACTGCGAGGAAACGAACATTTTTGTTATTGATCAGGATCCAACAATAAACGAATACATATTACAGAAACAGAAATCGTGCGCGACCGGTAAATTCAATTTCCGATTAAAGCGGTCGGGAACGGTCGTAACGCCTAGCCAAGGAGTGTAAATAAAAATAAGTACATATACAGATTGTGGTTAGGCAGGAGCTTAATCAGAGCTAAAATATACACAAATAAATAAAGTTCTGGTACGGAAAGTAGTGCAAATTACCAACGACCGTTTAAATCCCGGGTGACTTCGAAGCATGGTCGTTCACAATGGTTAATTAGGCTCACCTGGTCCGCTTATGCCTGGTGTAGATGCCGGAAATGGACGGAACGGAGAACCGACCCGGCAGGGTCTGCGCCCCGCCGAGATTCTCCAGGCTCTGACTCAACTCCTTACTCATGCACAACACACCAAACTCCACCGTATGCTGACCACTAGAGTATGCAATACAGTGTACCACCAATGCTTCTTGTATCAGACATTATTTACTGCTCAGAAACTACTACTCTAAGTTCCAGATGTACAATGTGCGAGACAGTGACCAAGTAGCATGCGGAGTAGAATGTTACAGAGAATGGAAGCGAAATGTGCATTTAAAAAATTGTGCGACAATCGAGTCCCGCTCCCGATAGTGCAAAGCGCGTCTTGGTACAAATTGGTGCTCCCTTCTTTACCATACAACACCTCTTACATCGTTATTACAAATGACAGGTTCCCGGACACCATGTGCAGAACAAACGAGAAGGTATTATGTAAGATTAGACATTCTTGTATCGGATATTAGAAGTACAAATGCCACGTGCGTGTCACAGCAAGAAATGCATATCATGAAAGAAAATTGTTTTAGATTCCACAAAGTGCTACACCGACATTTCTCATTGAGATCTCAAGGCAAACAAACATTGGAACTGGTATAGTATTTTCATGGTACAATGGACATGAACAAAACGCTAACCTTACACCAATTAATACCAAATGGTAATTAATTCCACCTATTAATCCACTTTATATGAATACACGTAAAGCTCTAATGATAAAACTGTAAACTTCGTAATTTAAGATTTAGGACTATCTTCGATCTGTGCAAGTAGAATTATTGTAATCTTAGAACTACGTAACTAATACACCACTGAACAGTATACTTATCCCTTACATACTGATCAAATGATTTGAATGTCTTTTGAAAGAATAAATAATAATGGAATGACGTGATGCTGAAATCCCTGCAACAGTGTTTTGAGTGTCAACTTACCTGAGACTAAGATCTGGACTAGCACACCGTACAACTGGACTTGGAACTGGTGGCACAACTCTATAACCGAAGGTTAAATAATTCTTCCAAACGTGCATATACATGTCCCTTTCATTGATTGGTTTTCGAACTGCTGTTGAACTTCTTAAAAGAGATGCTCTATTATCGTTCACAGGTCTAAAAAGAAGAACAATGGGTTTTAATTTATAAAAACAATATTTTTCTGTTCTTAGAAATTCTGATATAATCTTACGTAGGATCAATTACTGAGAAGAGGGAGTTTATTCGAGTAAAAACAATAGGCCATGAATGCGCGACGGCGGAAGGACACAATGTAAGCACTCTATCTTTTTCTAAGAATGCGAATAGACAACTTCCCCATGGATCTGCTCCATTTAAATTCAAAGAGGAAGAACTCTTTGTACTGGTATCATCGTGAAGTCCTATAAGGCTTTCTCCATTAGTAAACACTCCAAATTTATTAAATACAGGAGGAATATATATATATATATATACATTACCAGCTGTCCATACACAACTGCTTCTTTCAGCTATCCATTGAAGATCAACATTAGACGTTGAAGCAGCTGCAGCTTTTTCCGCGGGTGGTAACATATGATAACATTTCTCTAAGACCACTGGGCAACAAGCATCTACTACATCAATCACTGGTTGATCCTCTTCCAAGCCTCCTAAAATATACAAGCAATTTCGTTTAATATTTTATTTTTTCAAATTAATTGTATTTTTTTTATAAAAACTGAACTCACCTAAAGTGTTTTGCAAATACTTGACTTCGCGCAATATATGAACAGCAATTCTTCGAGGATAAAGTCGACAGTTACATAACATAACTAAGGCAAATCCTTCTACTAAGTGAAAAACGCTTGAAACAGGTTCTATCTTTTGTCCTGATTCACTTTTTTTGATACTATTATCTGTACGTGTACTTGTTCTCGTACTGTCTGCCGCCTGCTCCTTAGATCTTATGCTCGGGCTTGTCAATGCATTTTTCCAACTTGTAAGAAGTTGCAAAAGCATTCTTAAACCGTTATCAACAAGTTGTGGAAAAGTATCCTGAACGTCTCTAGCAAGAAATTGGGTAAATCCAAGAACAACATCTTGCCTCCAATCAGGGAAGTCTAACACTAAAGTCTGTAAACTTTGATATGCAAGTCCACGAAGCTCTTCGTCCATGTGAACGGTTAAACGAGATAATAAATCAACTAATTCAGCACCAGTCATTCCATCGGGAATCAAACGTGGGACTGCTGCAACGCATGTCCGGAAAAGATCTATTCTAGGCTTCCGTTCTCCAGTAATCATTTCGTCTGGTTCTTTGTTCATATTCTGAGTGCTTGTCATCATAAGAGGTCTTCCATAATGAACATCCAAAGCGCGCAATATATCAACAAATACTCGTCGAACGTGTGGAAAGTATGAGGACATTCCTATACTTCTTGCAGTATCCTCTGTCAACATCTAAATTTTAAATTAAATTAAATTTGGGGTGAAAATAATAATTATTATAACAATGTAATACTAAACAGAAATGTTTACTGTACTTACTTTATTGAGAAATGTCTTTTTAACACGTATAGTATTGCCACTTGGCAATACACCCATTGTACGCGGCATAGGAGGTTCTCCCTCTTTTTGCTGCAAACTATCAGCAACAACCAAAAATGCACGAAGGCCGATACTCATACGCTCAGGGGTTAAAATTATTTTTACTGGACGACCCACTGATAATAAATCGAAAACTATTTCTCGCATCGCAAAATCCAATCTTTCCTGTGCAATAAACTGAATGATCTTTACAAAAATATTCAGTGGGGTATCACGTGGCACTACTGCCTTTGAACCTTTAGGAAATAAAGAGTTCACTATGCTCTGCAGTCTACTCTGAGTAGCTGAATTGCTTTCACATTTAATTCGTATCATGTACACCCACAATAAACGGTATAACGCCTCTGAAAACAGATATAAATAATATTTTAAAATACTTGAAAACATATAAACATTTTTTTCTAAATAAAAGACATACCTAATGCAACACGACACGTTTTAGGATCCCGATTTTTTAGGTGTGAAAGACACATTGCTAAGAAGTAATGCCAATTTTGCAGAAAGAATGTTTTTTGACTCACACACAATAAGCAAGTTACAAGGGGGAAGAGTGCCAGTCTATGTTTTGATTTGGTACACATATCTAGCGTTGTAGAATATAGCATCTCTACAAAATTTTTCAGGCAAGGTACATTAACTTCATTTTTCACAGCC